GAAATGCTTTCAATTTTTCACCATTGAGGGTGATGCTTGCTGTGGGTTTGTCATATATAGCTTTTATTATGTTGAGGTATGTTCCTTCTATTCCTGCTTTCTGGAGAGTTTTAATCATAAATGGAACATCCCCACTTTAAAGTTTAGAAAATCGCCACCTCAGGATTTTATTTTCAGTTCTGAGAAAATCAACTTGAATCCTAGAACTGAGTAACCTTCCTTTGAACAAAAAGACAGATGACCAATGTTTTTAAATTGCTGGGTTTTATTAAGATATTGGCAAAATTTCAACATACTTCTTACCTGAATGAACAGTTTTAAATAAAATATGAAGGATCACTCATGATTACAACTAAACTCAAAAGTGAGCTGCAGAGAAGGTTTATAAATTGATAAAATTGGCTTGGTAAGAAATGATTCACTTCACTTGCTCAACTCCATAGAGAATTCTTTGCAGAGAAATATCATGAACAAGAGAACAAAGCCTGTCTCTCACCAAAGAGCACCTAGAGTAAGAGTTAGCAATGATGTATCTATAGATTATTTAATAAATCAAAGTTTATTATTTTCCTTTTCCAGAACAACTGCTGTGTCAGTCTGGAGTTCCCTATCTTATTTCATATTTTCTAATTAGTACAATAAATAGTCTTTACAATAGAAGATAAAATGCTGCTTAGAGGAAGTACCAATTTTTTTTAAACACAGTATCATTTGTCTCAAAAAAATAGTCATAATACTGGCAGTACTTTGGTTTTATTGGGAAAAAACATTTAAATTATTCACAGGTCAGAAGGGAAGAGTGGACTTGTCCTTTAACATCACGTGATTTTAAAAGGTGAAAAAAAAAGTATGTTCTTTCTTTAGCTAACTGACAATCCAAAGAGTAATTCTCCTAAATTGTAGGGTTAAAACTGTAGTATTCCTTTTTTATGGCCTTGCTTCCATGAGAATGATCACTGAGTGAACAAATTATGTTTAAACATTAAAATAATAATTTAGATCACTTTCTCACAAAGCCTCAGCAAGCCTTTGCTGGGGAAGGAAGTACCTGAACCACAGCAGTTTGATCTGTAAACACTTAACTTCTTTATGCATCATTTCATCTGCCCACTGGATGCTGCGCTTCTTACTGGCACAGTGTTCCAACAAAGGAGTGCTGTTGGCATGAAGATGCAGTGACACTATACCACCACGTTGACAGTGGACCACTATAAATGTGGTCAGAATCAGACTCAGGGTTGACACTGACATTGCTGACATTGTCCTTGGTAAAGGTTACTTTCGAGGATCCTTCTAGTTAAATTAAATGCAACAGTAACTGTACATTAATTCAAGGACAATGGATGGCACTTCTAGGTAAAGGAAAGATATATACATGTATTTCCACCCTTCTTTTCAGTACAGACCTAGACGGGATTAACAGCCCCAGTGCTGGGCGCTGTAATTTTACTTAACCTTAGATTGCTCTTAAAAGTCCACATCCGGAAAGTGAACAAAGGAAATTAGGGACCGGTTGCCTTTGAAACTCACAGTGAATGTACAAGGAGTTCATGTGACTTCAGTCAGCGACTTGAAGTCTGTTTCCCTAACCAGTACTACACTCTCTTTTTAATATTTGTTTTACTATTTCCTATTCTAACAAAACTTCAGCAAGCAAACAAATTGATGCAGATCATGTTAAATCGTAAAAGGGATACTGCCACTCTTAAGGACTGGGTGTAGATCTTCTCCACCGTCACTAAATTACACAATGAATAGAAGTACAAAACACATAATTCACAGACTGTATACCTCAGCATTAACAGTTAATATATATTATATACTTTTATATCTGTCTAATATTTTTACAATCACCAGATACACCATCATTAAGTACAAGTTACAGAAATGTGTAGATACCATTAGTTAGAGGGGTACTTATTGCTTACATCAGCAAGCAGCAAATAAGGGCACAGGATTTGAACTGAAGGGAGCTACTTTCTATCACCAGTGGCATTAAGGTATAACACTGCGTTTCACAAAGCACTGCTTTTTATCTAGTTTATAGACAGACCCAAGAGCAGCATGTCAGACCAATAACCACTACTTTAATATGTATTATAGAATTTTAAAGGACTTACCTTACAAGTGGTACCTAACTACTCTATAAATATGCATGTTGTGAACAAATGAATAGTTGCTAATTTGTACATTATTGGCTTATAATGTGACCACACTAGAACTACTTTTATTTTCTAGAGGGCTACTGGTATGAGAAATGGAGTTAACACTGCTTATGTAGTTACACCTACAAAATTCAGACCCTTAAAGATACCTGTTACTCCCAATTTCATCCAACCATTTTTCCCACTGAAGAAAACCTATCACTTGTACCTTCTTTCACCTTCTTTATTCTGATCAAAATCATTAGCAATAGACAACTACAGAAGAATCTTTTTACAAACTTTTTAACTTGGCTAAGTGCTTTGGACTATTATATATACCAATGTTCTGCTGCCTGTTTTCTTGTTTCCCTAGATAATTTGATTTGAAACTGACACTGCACCTGATGGGTTGTTAACATGATCTAGGCTTCAGAAAATGACAGATGTGAGGTCATGGATGGGGGTAAAGCCTTGGGATGGTGAAAAGACTCTGGTACTATGGTTGGATTCATGTGTGCTCCCTGCTTTTCAGCCATGTCTCACAAGACTTGAGAAAAGAAATGACTTCAAAAAAGAAAAATACTGAAAATCTCTACTTACATCCAAATTTTAAAAAATAAAATCTGTAGATTAACAATCTGTTGCTGAAGTGAATCTTTTATTTATTTGCTATAGCTACCCTGGCACCCCAAAATATGCTACAGTCCCCTCTGTTTCTATAGTCCAGGAATCTCAGTCCTCCGTCCTGAGTCTGGGGAACATGCAGTCGACGTATCGCGCTCTGTGAACCTCTAGGCAGGAGCAGCCCGTGTCTCCCGACAGCACGCGGAAGCCGGCGGCGCCACGCCTGACTGGGAGAGGGCAGAACATCCTGCAGAGACACTTCGTGATTCTCAGAAGCAGGCTGCTGCACTGAATTAACCTGATTATTAGTTTATTTGCTGCCTCTAGTTGCAGATATGGTTCTTACTTGAAACTGCAGAAATGGCAAAAAGCAGACAATTTCAAAATATCAAATGTAAATAAATATTGAAATGAGCAACACGTGTCCTGGCTCTGGTCTGAAGATGCAGGACTCAAATTTTCAACTAAACAGACCTCAGCTGCAGTCATCTGCATTCTACTTTGCACTTGGCCTCTGGGCTCACTTTAGGCAGTTACTTTCAGCCTCTTCCATGCCAATTATTTCATTCCCTCAGGGGAAACAATTGTAGAGAAGTTAAAACTAGTATTTTTCATTCTCCAGAACCACTTATTTTATTGTAGTATATGCCTTTACTGTCTGTGAAGTTTAAAAAAAAAGAAATAAGCCAGAAAAAATAGAAATACTATTTGATTTTCTTTTAAAATGGCAACTTGATTCTAGTATATTTGTACCTGAAATCATCTCCATTAAACAAGTTTTTATTCCTGAGATGAAGGTACAGTGAAAAACGTTAGCATCATAGGTTAAAGCCAATTGACAGCGGTCTTCTAAAAAACAATTCTGTCAAAAGCACCATAACGGGTTATGAAACTCCCAAATAGCTACAGCCCTAGGAAATGCTTAATTCAAAAAATTTTCATTGTTGGTCTTTTATGTTACAGGAAAAAAATTAGTGAATCTTTTTGACTATATACCACCTCACAAGTCTGAGAATATGACATTTTTACACTAGTTTTCTACTTTCATTTTCTCCAGTTAAAACCCATATGGCTTTTAGTCTTTTACCTACCAAAAAAAAAGGGAGAGGCTTTCCCTCATAGTCCCCAGTCTTTTGAGGAACATTCCTCAACTAGCTCTAATTCTGCATTAAGTTTTCCAGATATATATTAGGCACATCAGACCGAATTTCACCTGCATCAAGATTTCAGCACTATATATCCTGACTGAAATAATTTAACTCGTAAGCCTCCACTAGTGACGTGACGGGGTCTTGGGGGGTGTATGTAGGTATAGAGACACATCACAGGGACCAGTGGTATAATTTTGCTAGTGAAACCGCCAATACTGTTTTTTATTAGATTGAAAACACTGTATTGAGTTTCCTAGAGATCTATTTACATTTAAGAGTTGAGCCATCCATGGCTCATTATAATGAAGCACACATATTTCAGAAATATCTACTTTGTTTCTACTCTGATAGTGGTATCTTTACTGGGGGAGAGCTAGCTAGCCTACTTTAGGGAGAAAGGATTATATTTTAAAGCTCCAGGGAAGATCTGGGTATGGAGTGTCGTTATTCTTTTTGAGCTTCCTCACTATGTTTTCACTGTATCCTTTCCAGCTATTTTGCCTCCATGGCAGAGAACTTCTTAACATCCTATTTCTCTTCCCATTTCGAATAAGTGAGGACAGGCTAATGCCTGTTTTCTGGGAAGACTCTTGAGCAGAGAGAAAAGAATAAAACTTTGGATTAAACCTGAATCCATGCCGCCTCTTTCTGTAATGGTAGTATAAGTGAGACAACCTAGAAACTCTCTTTCCCAGGAACTTGAACTGTTCGTTTTCCAGCCTAAAACAAACAGGAGGCAAACTCTCCATGCTGCATACCTGCTGCCCTGTTGAACCCACATTAAAAGAAGAGAGAAACTCTCCAGCACCATTCCATTCAGGCAATGATGATGGAACTGATTTTTTCTCCATTATTACCTCATTAATAAGACTGGCTCTCTTTGGTGCACCAGAACCAAACAGCTCAACTGGTGGCAAAAACTGGGCACCATGAGGCTTGCTTGTTTCTATCTGTGTGAGATCTAGGTAGCCCGGGTCTTCCAGCACACTGCTTTGGGACCCTGGGCTCAGGCTGGTTCTATCCGTGAAAGAATCCACACGCCCCTCGTAGCCCAGATCGGCCGGGGCGGAGCACTGGTGCTGGGGCCAGGGGCGCTTGCACTCCCCATGACTCTCCTTGTCATCCCCACCAGCTTCTTGCCCTCCTTGGAAAGAGTTCTCTGTCCAATCTGAGTCCTCACTAACATTTACAGCTTTGTTCATGTCCCTCAGGAAAACCACAATAACAGTGATGTTATCACTTGACCCTGCATCACGAGCTGATGCCACTAACTTGTGGGCAACCATACTGCTGTCTCCATTATTCTCCTTCAAGTGGTCGGACACGACTTTCACTGCCTCGTCAGGGTTCACGGTGTCGTAGAAGCCATCGCAGGCCAGAATGAGGTAGTCTTCAGTTCCATCCAGAAGAGTAGAGGCAGAATCTGCATCCCCACAGATATATGGCTTATGTTCAGCATCTCCTGCAGGAATGAGAAAACAGGTCATTCTGGTTTATCTTGCAGGTCAGAATGTTCACGGTCAGCTCTAATGTCCTGAGCAGAGAAGGGCCCTCTGTTGAGGGAACAGTATTAGCAAGACACACAGGCAACTGGTAGGGAGTACTTTGTAGTTGAATGTTTGGTGCAGCAACAGACTGGAGAACTCGGGCCCAGCTAAGCTAGGTTTCTGTCACCAGACTACTGCGGCAATGGATCATCTGCAACGCATTTTAGAACTTCCAGGTCCAGAGCACTTCCAGACCCCTTGTTTATTCCTTTAGTACTTGGGGAGAGCCTCAGCAAACGGGTCCTTTGCCTGTCGGGTAACCAAATAACATCACTACAAGGGATCCCCACTGGCTTCTCTCTATGAAAAACATGGAGTACTGGGCAACAGTTCCTAGATTAGGGCATCTTAATTTGTTGGTAGTTTGTTTGTTTACAAAGTGCTTTATCATTCTTAAAGCAGTAGCATATAGCTTAGTGGTCAAGAATGCAAGCAGCAGAGTCAGGATGCCTGGATCCAGGTCACAGCACTTTAAAGACTCTCTTCAGTTCCTATCCTCTTTATTGCACTAAAACTGAACTTTCTGACTGCTGCTGCTAAGTTGCTTCAGTCATGTCCGACTCTGTGCGACCCCACAGACGGCAGCCCACCAGGCTCCCCCGTCCCTGGGATTCTCCAGGCAAGAACACTGGAGTGGGTTGCCATTTCCTTCTCCAATGCATGAA